GGCCCTCGATGGTGCCCCCCTGCGCTGCCTTGCGCGCTGCCGCCTCCAGGGGAAGGGCACGCCTCCGCCTCCGCCTCCGCGGGCCCCGGGCGCGCGGCCCTGCAGCCCTCGCCCGGCTCTTCGATGAGCCCCACGGTGTCCCCGCAGCCCGGCTGGCTCCTGGCCCTCGGCATGGTCTTTTTGTGGACTCGGATGTGAGTTCGCCACGGAGAGTTGAGCTTCGACCTGAGGTCTTCGTAGGGGACGGGGGATGCTTTGCCTCCCGCGTGGCCGGGGATGTGAATGACAGCGTTCCTGGCGGCTCGGTTGGACATTTTCATCTTCTTTCCTAAGAGCAGGTGGTTTATAACTGGAGAGTTGTTCACCTGAGACGGGAGGAGGCTGGTCACCGGCCCTTTGTCTGAAAGAAACATCGGAAGGGGGCGTGAGAGGTGCCCTCAAGGCGCCGGGTCTGCAGAGACCATCCTCAGCCCTTCCCACGCTCTTCCCAGGCGCTGGGAGTCATGTGACTGCAGGCGCAGAAACTGAATTCCAACCGAGGGGGGGGGGGGGTATTCCCTCCTCTTTAAAGAGGAGGAGAGAAGGGGCCGAGGTCGCAGAAAGGAACAGAGACTGATCCCTCGTGACTAAGTAGAGGCCTAATGATTTTTTGGGGGTGGGGGGAGCTTTTGTCTTGAGACCAACCTCAGAGGTCTTCTATCCAGAAAATGTTCCATCCTAAACCTTGTCACCTACATCGACCTGACATGGAACACACTCAATTCTAATGTTCTTCTCTTGGGTTCTCTTCCAGCTCTCAGGCTGCCACTGTAACTCTACCTGGTGACAGACACTTCGGTTCCTTGACTCCTCAATCCTCTCTTAACTTCTTGTCTATCTTTGGCCCACGGACACCCCTACTCTTAGAGCTGCACGGCTCATTACCTGGACCACTGCCTCCCCAGGAACCACACATCCCAGGCATCCCTCTCCCTTTGCCACATGCCTGCAAAACCCCGGTCTCAGATCCACAATCCACACTCTCTCGTTAGGTCCTCAGTGCTGCTGACCAATCTTTTTCTTTCACTCTCCCACTCCTTTCAATAACCTATCCAAGTCTTCCTTATTCTCTAAGCTCCCACCCAGGCCCCAACTTACTCCCAGAAAAACAATTTTTCCCCCAATTCTCCATGAAAACAGAAGCTATCAGGTCTGAAAGACCTCAACTTCTTGCCCTCTGTAACCTAAGAGGCTGGTACCCCAACCAACTTCCTTCCCTCCTTCCTTTAAGTCTCAGAACCTATGGTCTTTGGTTTCTAGCTCAAGTTCAGTCTCCACCGGTGCTGCTAATCCTGTCCTCCACCACCTCCTCTAAAACCTTCCACTCCATGTGTGAGCCCCACCCAGCAGCACTGGCACCAAAAGCTTGTTCAAAATGCATAACCTGAGCCCCACCCAAACCTACTGAAACACCCTCTTCCTTTTAACAGATCCCCAGGTGGTCCCTATGCACAGGGGAGTTTGAGGAGCAATGCTCTAGAGCAGTGGTTCTCAACCTTCCTAATGCCACGACCCTTTAATACAGTTCCTCATGTTGTGGTGACCCCCAACCATAAAATTATTTTCGTTGCTACTTCATAACTGTAATTTTGCTACTGTTATGAATCGTAACGTAAATATCTGATATGCAGGATGTATTTTCATTGTTACAAATTGAACATAATTAAAGCATAGTGGTTAATCACAAAAACAATATGTAATTATATATTCAATATGTGTTTTCCGATGGTCTCAGGCGACCCCTGTGAAAGGGTCGTTCGACCCCCAAAGGGGTCTCGACCCACAGGTTGAGAACCGCTGCTCTAGAACAATCTCTCCCTAAAATAAGCCAAATAAACCATGATCCAGAGTAAGGGTTGGCAAACTTTTACTGTAAAGGGCCAGATTATAAATATTTTAGTCATGGCAGTGTAAAAGCAGTCATAGACAGTATGCAAACAAAGGTGATGCCTGTATTCCAGTAAAACTTTATTTACACAAACAGGTGGCAAGCAGGGTTTGGCCTGCAGACCATAGTTTGCTGACCCCTGACTAGAGAAGGAGGCGCTGGGCTGAGTCAGCACACAATGGTGACGGTTCACTATATCGCCCAATGATTTACTAGTATACAGTAGTTGCAAAAGGACTATACAAAGAATTAGAACAAATGGATTCCAGCCCTGTCCGGACCACTCACGATCACTATATAATCTCTGACGATTGCTAAATCCTCATGAATCACCACTTCCTCATCTTCTAAAAGTATATGAGAATATCTGTTCTTTGCCTTCCTCATAGACTCTCCTTAAAGACACCATGAGGACGCTTTGAAAACTGCAGAGCTGCAGCTGTTCATTTCTTCTGTGATTGATTTATGATTCAGGATAAAGTACGAATCTTCAAGAAGTCGCCTACCCTTCCTGAGAAGTAGAAGGTAAATTCAGTTTTTGGGCAAGATCAGTCACATGCTCACAAGCCTCTTAAAAACATGTCAAATCATGGACAGGAATCATTTTCATTCAAATTTCACCGAGAACAAAGCAAACCAATTCCAAAATCAGCATATGTTAAAAAACAAAGCAGATTATTGCTCCCTGGGATTTGGGGAATTAAATAGAAAAAGAACAGAAGCCTGACAATCCTTGGGAAAGAGCATTTTCAACTGCATTACACCTGTGTTCTCTGCAGAGTCAGGACACAGTCACCCATGGGCAAGGCGTAGGGACAGCCTTTTCCTTTTTCTCAGATTACATGCCCTTTATGTCACCTCCTAAGTGACCAATGGATAGCTTGATTTATTCGTGCACAGATCGGCAAGTTCTGTGTTCCAATGCCTGGAATTTCAGAGGCAACAGCTCCAAAATGTCTCAAGTCCAAGGATTGCTCGGCTTTGCAACATTGTGATCATTTGTAAAGCCCTCTCCAGAAGCACACACAGTGAAGATGTGTTCAGTACCATCAACTGCCCGGTCCTTGGGACCTAAGGAGAACCCATGGTCTTTGTCTTCTGTAGAGCCTGATAAAATAAAATTTTAAAAAATGAGATGCTAAACGTGCTATCACTCGTGCCAGCCGAGTTTCTGGATGCTGAGCTACATACAGTGAGAGTACAGGAATATGTGCTCTTCCTCTCACAGGCTGACACAGAGGTGAAATTGATTCGAAGAATCCCATTACCTGCTCTGATATACACCTGGTGAACCTGCTGCTGCTGCTTCCTTTTAATCCGAGAATACTGCCGCTTTAGCGCGTTGATGTCCGTGGTCATGCGCTCCATCATCATGCTGTTGAAAGCGGCGTGGTATTCACTTCGGCAGGAATTGATGGCTCCTGGACTCAGCTCCGCAATGTTATTGGATCTCAGACTCTGCTCTTCGTGGGGCTCTGTACTCGCAGCGGCAGAGACAAGGAGAGGTGTCAGTGGAGGAAAATGGGATGAATGGGCAATTGATTCCACTGTAACCCAGAGTGGTATCACAACCTCCAGAAAATTCTAAACCACAAAAAAAATGTACACTAGGATTTGTCTAGAGCTTGTTTTAAGCAGTCCTGAAAATACTTCTGCATTTTCTTATTAGCCTAATTGTGGGTCTGAAATGAGCTGTGTGGAGTCATAGTTTTATTTTATTACCACTTTGTTTATTATACAGACATAAGATCAAGTTTTCGAGATAAAAATCACTGTTATTTTCGAAAATGCCCTTAGAAAAATATAATTCCAGATGTCAAGTCATTGTACAGAAGTCCACATAAATGAGTGAGAATTTATAAGGGATTGATAGTTTGTAGCGTTTAATCAGCCATTAAAAGTGAGATTTTAGTCCTGGCTGGTGTGGCTCAGTTGGTTGGAGCATCATCCCATATACTGAAAGGTTGTGGGTTCGACTCCTGAACAGGACACATACCCAGACTGTGAGTTTGATCCCTGTTTGGGGCGCTTGTGAGAGGCCACTAATCGATGCTTCTCTCTCACATCGATGTTTTTCTCTCTCCCTTTTCCCCTCTCTCTCAAATCAATAAAACATATCTGTGGGTAAGGATTTTTTTAAGTGAGTTTTTAAGTTAAAAATAGATTCTATGAAATTATCAAGACTTCGAGTCACTCTACCACTAGAAATGCATGTTTTTAATTGTTTAACAACCATTTCCTGAGCATACACTATGTGTGTTATAGTTCCCGGGACACCTACACCCAGCAGGGTTGTCCCTTAAATAAAACTGAGATTACATCCAAGAGAGAAACAAGCGCTGTGCGAAAGCACGCTTCCAGACTGCACGGCCGAGGCGGGCAGACCCGGCTCCTCAGCACCATATGCAAAGCTGGCCGGGGACCAGCTGAGAGAGAACCCTCAGTAGGGATCCTGACTATCCCAACAGCCACTGAAAGTGTTAGAGGGCTACACGTCTGGCAAGTTTGCTTCCTTTTTTCCCTGAAGACACTTGTGGGAGGAAAAGGAAATTAAAAGGGGACCTGCACACCTGAACTTAAGTAAGACCAACAAACAGGAACAATAAAACAGGAGAACATGATCAGGTCATCCTGGGCACAGACCTGCACAGAAAGAAAAATGGGGGGAAGGGGAGTACGGGAGGGCAGGGGGAGGGGACACAGACCCAGACTTCAGAAATGCAGATTCAAAAATGTTAGAATTAAAATCCACATTGATCCCATGGCTAGAAGCCAAAAGCTGATATCCAGGCAACAAGAGGGAGGGTGGAAGGCATTACGAAATCAATGGGGATCTTGTTGGGTTCACATTATTAAAAGCCTTTTAAAAAGATGAGAGGAAAATGCATACCAAAGACATTACACACACAAAAAGTATGAACCCAAACCATGAAACAGGTCAAAACTCAAAACAAGCCAAGACTTAGGGAAAATACTCAAAACTAGTACTATGAAAAAGACGAAGAAGATGAAGATGGCGAAGAAAAGACAGCAATGATGAGATGATGATGAAGAGAAGGAAAATACAAAAAATAAATACTATTAAAAGTTCTGAAAATCATATCTTATGAGAAATGCTTAAAGAAATTCTGAACTTGAGCCATGGAGAAAATTCTTGGGGACATGATGGCTGTCCTCAAAAAACCGAAGAGCCGTCCAGTCAGAGAGGGAGTGGACTCATTCTGTTTTGTTCCAAAGAAATGAACTATTAATAGAACTGGTAGGCAGAGATTATCTCTCTGCAACTAGAAACCATGGGCTAAGTGGAGGAACTCAAAAGAATGCCTTATGAGATAATGAGTTTCTTATCTCTCAAATTCAAGGAGAGGCCACCATAATGTTTTAGATTCAGAGGGTACTTCTCTATAAAAGAGAAGCCAGTCTAGAATGAATTCAATTAAACTCAAACACAAGGTAGCAAGCATCTATTACATTCCAGGCTCTATGCTAAGGAACTGAGCATACAAAGTTGAATCGGACGAGTACGGTGCAAAGTCACCATTAAAAAAGAAGAAATATATATTATGCATGCAACCCATAACACAGAGAAATCCTACTAAATGAGAAAGTAACACAGAAGATACTTTTTCAAATATATATATGTTAATTATTTTTTTAATTTCAGGGAGGTCCCTTCAGGGAGGGAGAGAGAGAACATTGATAGGCTTCTTCCTGCACACCCCACACTGGGGATTGAACCAGCAAACCTGGGCATATGCCCTGACTGGGAATTGAACCTAGACCTCCTGGTTCATAGGTCAACACTCAACCACTGAGCCACGACAGCTGGTCCAGAGAAGATACTTTTAATAAAGACCTTCAATAAGGGTAACCAGTTCAGAAAATAAATAGGCATTTATAGGTTACAATAACAGTACCCCTGCTATAGTGAACCAACACATTGTGATAATCTAAATAGAGAGCCACCTTTTTTACCTTTAATTTGTTTTTGGTACTTCTGTAGTTCAGGTGCCAGGAGTCCACTGAAAGGTCCAAGACACCCCACGGCATTAGCAATAGCATCTTCATCATCTGGGTCATTCTCTTCATCACTGTCTCTGATCTTACCATGTCGTCTTGGAAAACATAACAGAAAAAAAATATTCAGAGAAAATAGTGTCATTTTTAATAAAAATAATTCAGTCACATGGTTTAAATGACATATATAATGTATACATATATAAAAAGTCTCTCATCCCGATCCAACTTCTGCCCAGCTGTTCCACCTAATTCCTACAGATGATACAGTGACTAGCTTCTTATTTATTTAAGTAAGACCAACAAACAGGAACAATGAAACAGGAGAACGTGATCCTTTAGTTTCTTTATGCATGGATAAGCAGATATGACTATACTAGAGGCCCGGTGCACAAAATTCATGCACAGGGTGGGGGAGGGGAGAGGTGTCCCTTAGCCCGGCCTGCACCCTCTTGCAATCCAGAACCTTTCGGGGATGTCTGACTGCCGGTTTAGGCCCAATCCCACAGGATCCCTACGGGTCATGCCTAAACTGGCAGTCGGACATCCCACTGGCAATCCGGGACCGCTGGCTCCTAACTGCTCGCCTGCTTGCCTGATTGCCCCTAACCACTCTCCCTGCCTGCCTGATCACCCCTAACTGCTCACCTGCCTGCCTAATCACCCCTAACCACTTGCCTGCCTGCCTCATTGCCCCTAAGCACCTCCGCCTGCCTGCCTCATCGCCCCTAACCATTCGCCTGCCTGCGTGATTACCCCTAACCACTCCCTGGGGTGTGGGGCCAGCCAGGACAAGGGGCCTTGTCCTTCTGGTCTCTGGTCATTTTGGTTGTTCCACCATTTCTGTTGCTGGGCTTTTATTATATAGGATAGTCTTATTTTTCTCCTCTTTTTACATAAGTATTAGCATACTATATACACTCTTCTGCACCTTGCTTTTATTCACTTAAGAAACCTCTCCATATTCTTACAAAGAGCTTCCTCATCGTTTTTTACAGCTGCACTGTATTGTATGCATGTAGTGCACGTTAGGGAACCTGGCACTAACGAAGCACACTTGAGTGGTTTCAATATTATGCCATCATGAACAATGCTGCAATAAGCAACCTTTATACATCCTGTGTTTTGCATGTGTATAAATATTTTTGTGGGATAATTCATTGAGGTAGAATTGCTGGGTCAAAATCCATTACAAATTTTGGACAGTACTTCCCAACGGCCTGCCATGAATCCTGTAGTAAGCAACCTCTCACCTGCAATGTGCCTGTATCCCCATGGCCCTATCAAGAGCGTGCACATCAGCCTTTTGAATTCTTGTTAATCTGATAGGCAAAGTAACAGACTCTCAATCTAGTTATTTGCTACATTTCTCTTGATGCTGCCTTCTATGTAAACTACCTAGTCCCATCCTTCCATCATTTTTCAGTTGGGTGGTCATTCCATATTAATTTCTAGGAACTTTATGAGAGATATCAATTACAAATACTTTTCCATGAATATTTTTGTGTCTGCTTATGAGGGTTCTATTTTGTTCTGTTTTGGTTTTAGTCATACAGAATATTATTTGTAAATACTTAGTGTTTTTTTTTCCTTTATTGTTTTTTTATTTTTTATTTTGAGGCTGTTATTAAGGCCTTCCCAATTCCAAAGAACTAAAGACATTTTTCCACATTTTCTTCTGCTAATGTTATTACTTCATTTTTTCCCATTTAAGTCTCTCATCTATATGAAATGTATCCTACTGTATGATGTAAAGAAAAACTTCAACTTCATTTCCTTCCAGAGTAGGTCTCATTGGCCCAGCACCATTTACTAAATAGTACCTCTTTTCACTACTGTTTGATATGCCAAGTTTTCATATACTGTATTCCTGTGTATTTGTCAATGTCTGGTCTTTATAGCATTTTAAATAAGCGCATCTGTTTTTTCATGCTTCAGTTCTACACTATTTTAATTTTGAGATTTTTTTTTTAAATATTTGATATTTTTAAATAAGTTGTGGGGTTGCTACAGGTCCCTTCAGTTTATATTCTAGTCTTCCTTGGAAAGAACAGTTTTAAAAATCACTCTCTTGAATTTACATCAAAACCTTAAAAAACATCCAGATTTTAAGAACCAAACTACTTTGAATATATTTCTAGGGCTTAACAACCATTAAGTTACAATAACCAGTTAAAGCATCTAGTCTCCTGTCACGAAAACAAGAAGGAAAAAAGAGACCTTACCCAGACACGGAGGTGGGTTTCACTGCAGCTGGGAACGGTGTAATGTTGTAGGTGTACTTTTCCCTCAGCTCTGCCAGTTGTGGGAAAGGGAATGGAGCCATGGAGTAAACAGTCTGAAAACCAGAAGCGAAAATGCCATGCCTGAAACGGAGCCCTTAAGTAACTCTATCAATCCTGGAAAGACATTACGATTTGAGTGTGAAAAGGTAAAACTGCCTCTTACAGAGAGAGTGGAAAGATCCTACTTCAATATCCGCTTTAGAGAAAGACAAAAGAACACTGATAAACACAAGGTGAGTTTTCAAATCAACCTGACTGCAACCAGGCATTCCAACTGGTGAGCAAGGGTGAGCCCAAGGGGGAGTCTGACTTCCTTCTGCTCGGTTCGGGGTGGGTGAATTCAGCAAGCCACAGCTCCCTTACCTTTTTATCCTCACTTGAGAATATGTTTATGGTTTTAGAGAGAGAGGAAGGGGGTGGGGGAAAGAGAGAGAGAGAAAGAGAGAAAAAGAGAGAGAGAGAGAGAGAGAGACATGATCGGTTGCCTCCCGTACACACCCCGACCGAGGACTGAATCTACAACCTAGGTATGTGCCCTGATGGGGAATCGAACCTGCAACCTTTCGGTGCACAGGACAATGCTCCAACCAACTGAGCTACCCAACCAGGGCAGCTCCCTTACTTCTTTAATAAAGAACCCATCGATGTGTTTCATATCTAGTACTTGTTTTTTAAGCTGTTTGATGATTTTTATAGCCATTACGCCAGCCTGGATAAAAATAAGTGGACAATCTTGTGATGGACTGCGTGCTTTCTCCAAACACACCTTTTCAAATATCTGTGAATAAACTCTAGGTGAAAATTGCTGGTTTCCGGTGTTTTTTTTTAACTGACAGTGTAAAAGCCCAGATTGTTAAAAAATCTATAAATAAAAATGAGAAAAACACCTGTGCTTCCTCCAGAATTTCAAAATTATATGCCATTCTATTAGCAGGAGGGAAATAATCTTATTTGCTTTCTTAATTTTATCAAAATTTAATTGCTCCAAAATTTTAATTATATTATTTATTCAATCCTTAAAGTTCTTATTCACCAGAAAATGTATCTTTTTCTTTTTTCTTTTTTAATCCTCACCCGAGGATATTTTTTCCATTGATTTTTAGAGAGAGTGGAAACACCGATGTGAGAAAGACACATTGATTGGTTGCTTCCCACATGCCCCCAACCAGGGCCAGAAGCCTGCAACCAAGGTACATGCCGTTGACCGGAATAGAACCTGGGACCCTTCAGTCCTTGAGCCGACGCTCTATCCACTGAGCCAAACTGGCTAGGGCAGAAAATGTATCTTAATCACACTAGCTTTCTCCCAGGAAGCTTTTTAAATATCCTGATATTTTCTGGGGAAATTTTTAAGTGGTATTTTTCATTTCAGCAGGAGAGTTGTTCTGAAGGCTCAGCGGAGACGTGTACTATCTGCATGGGCAGGAAAGGAGGGCTCTGAAAGGGGCCTGACGGTGCTGCTGTCTTACTTTGTAGCTCAGAGCCACCACTGGGACAGCCCACCGCCATTTGATTCTAAACAGTCTGTCCATCAGACCATCCCCAAACAGATATAAGGTATCCACTTACATCTTACTGTACCACCCGAAGATTCTACACAAGTAAGTGTTGGCTAAAATCCCTTCCCCTCTATTCTCCGTTGCCTATTGTCCAAAGCTACACAGATCATAGGGACCAAAAAGTCATCTCTGAGCCATTCTATATACCCGGGATCCTCAAACTATAGCCCGCGGGCCACATGCAAATACAAATATTGTATTTGTTCCCGTTTTGTTTTTTTACTTCAAAATAAGATATGTGCAGTGTGCATAGGAATTTGTTCATAGTTTTTTTTTTAAACCATAGTCCGGCCCTCCAACGGTCTGAGGGACAGTGAAGTGGCCCCCTGTTTAAAAAGTTTGAGGACCCCTGCTATATACTACACATTTGATTATACCCACAAGGCTGAGACGCCGCACAAATTTACTAACAGTGAGCTGCTCCCCATGGAGAGAAGCAGGAGGTACCTTGTGGTTCCCATTAGTCTCAGATTGGCCAGTTCCCAACCTCTCTGGGCCTCATTTTCCTCCTCTGAAAAATGAAGGGTGTGAAAGTTGGGATTGTGATTACCTTGAAAAGGAAAGGGGAGAAGTGGGGTGAGGAGGGGAGGGGAAATCAGAGAGAAGCATATGAGGGTGTCCAAATGTGTTGCTCTTGCTTATTTCTTAAGTTGGGTGATGGGTGTGTGTTTTGTAATGCTATTTTTAATACGTTTCTGTATGCCAGAAATACTTCATATCATTTCATTCATAACATGGTCAGAGTGAACTCTCACATTCTTTGCTCCCACCAAGGTTGCCAACAGCTCATCCCTCAAGAAGCTCCTTATTGCCAACACAGAATCCTTTCTTCCTTGCTCTAGGTCCTGTCTTAGCTCCATATACCCTTTGAGGGAAATGGAGAGAAGGGACATCCTCTCCTCAGCACCCCAACTTTAGGTCCAGGGCAGGGCACCTCCATGGGGGCCTCAGTCAAGCAGCACCAGCCTCTGACCACCACACACAACAAGTGTGGTCCTACCGCTGCACCAAGAGTCAGCCTGCCCCTCACTCACGGGACCTTTCTTCCTTAACAATTTAGAAACTTGGTTCCGGTATTTAAGAAACCCATGCTGTTTCGATTCAAGCTTAAAAGATGAACTCATTAATGCTATAAATTTCAAATGTTCTTCCCAATGAGGTAAAATGTCTCACTGACGACAATTAGTGGGGTAAATTAGCTGAAGGTTCACTGTGTTTTATTATTGCCAGTTTTAGAAAAAGTTATCAGAATTCTTTATCCAGCCTTATGAAGGAAGTTTATAAGAAAGGAATGGAGCCCAGCTGGTGTGGCTCAGTGGTTGAGGATCGACCTATGAAGCAGGAGGTTATGGTTTGATTCCCGGTCAGGGCACATGCCCAGGTTGCAGGCTCGATTCCTAGTGTGGGCATACAGGAGGCAGCTGATCAATGATTCTCTCTCATCATTGATGTTTCTAACTCTCTCTCCCTCTCCCTTCCTCTCTTAAATCAATATAAATATATTAAAAAAAAAAAAAGGAATGGACAATACATTTGCCCCTACTTCATCCTGTCCTGCCTCGGGGTAGATGGCCTGGGTTCTGAGCCAGCTCCTTCCAAGACCGCTCAACCAAAGACATTCGACTAAAAGAAAACTGGCTCCACTGAGCTTTCATTTTCTATTTTTGCTCTTCCTTTCTCAATCATCTGCTTTTAGTTAATCCTTCAAAGACGAAACCAGCGTGCCTGAAAAACAGTGTATAGTCCTTCTTCGCACACATGCACTCAATCCTTTGAAGGTCTCATGTATGTGGGGGCATGTTGATCTCACGAACATAAGCTTCCCTGGCACAGCCCCACAGTGCTCAGGGTACCTGAGTAGCTCCGGGTTCCTAACGTTGTAAGTCACGGATTTACAACCAACTCCAAGACAGAAATTTTACTCATCGTCTCAGAGCCCAAGTAAGGTAGACTCATAGAATCCGAGGGTCAGGAGAAACAAACATAATTTAGTTCCACCTCCCTCCCAGGAGCTCCACAGGTGGCCACAAAGGCGCTGCCGAACGCGCCCAGCACGCACTGTTTTGCACGGCAGACGGTTTCCATTTCTGACAGCACTAATTCATCAACATCATCTTTCTATTGAACAAGCATCCGCATTCTTGTCATTTCCACCATCATCTTTCTATTGAACAAGCATCCGCATTCTTGTCATTTCCACCCCTTCACTGATGGAAAACAGCCAACAATCCCACGGCAGATCCCGCCTGTGGCACATGAGAGCTGCCGCAGGAAACAGTAAATTATTCACAAGAACTTTGGCTTCTGTTTTTCCAAGCACCTATGAACCCTTCTAATAGTGACATCTGACTCACTTTTCTTTACATTGCCCTCAAAGAATTCATGAGAGACTCTGTCAAAAGTCATTCTGAAATCCATCTATGCCTTGTCATTGGCATTCCCCCAATCTCTCTCTCTCTCTCTCTCTCTCTCTCGTTAATCTTCACCCCAGGATATTTTGCCATTGATTTTTAGGGAGAGTGGAAGAGAGAGAGAAAGACAGAGAGAAACATCAATGTGATAGAAACACATGGATTGGTTGCCTCCTGCACTAGCCCTGACCAGGGCCCGGGCAGGGGAGGAGCCGGCAACCAAGGTATGTGCCCTTGACTAGAATTGAACCTGGGACCCTTTGGTCCTCAGGCCGCTGCTCTATCCACTGAGCCAAACCGGCTAGGGCTCCCAATCTCTTTTTCTAACACTCTTATTTTTTTAAATAGCCATTGCTAATAAAAGAAAAAGTGATGTGATTTACAGGGGAGAAAAACAGTACTTTGTGTCTGGCACTTAGAGCTGAAAGAAATGGAGAAGACGAAGCAGGGAGAACCCTTTCGTCTCGTCTCTGACCTCATACACGGTCCACGTTTCACCGGAGCCATCTCAGGTTTGCGGACAGACGGAAGGTGCACCATAATTGGATCCCAGCCATTGAACTAACTGTTTTTCACGAGTGAACACAGAAAAAGAGTGGCTTGAAATGGTAGCATTTCTCTCCTTAATACTCTACGATGCCAAGGAAAACCAACTACCAACACACACTCCTATAGACATTTATATTTAGGCACTGCTGAAAAGAAATTCTTATTTCTTTTTCATTATTGACATGTTTTTACAAGAAACATGAAAACATAAGTTGTATAAAATTAAGCTCAGTTTATCATCACCCAGATGTTTTCTTCGGCAGGAAAAAAAATAATGCTACTAAAAGGGGAACTAATCTATCAAGCCCCAGCCCGCATTTTCCCCTCTAGGATTCCCTTTAAGAGGTAATGAAGGGTCCTCTTTCCTAATCCCTCAGGTTGGGAATTCCTAGAGGACGAAGATGACAGCTGTAGATCTCAACATATCTCATTCAATCTGGCAATGTTTGGGCTTTAAGTAAAATAAAATGCTGCCTTATTCTTCTCAGGAGGATTTCAGTTTTAGAAAGACATTTTTTAAATAAGGTATAAGCATGTAGGATGCCCAGCGGTTGGGGCCTTGAGTTCCAGTCCTGCCACTAGACAACCTAAGAAACTGGCAGGTGCTGGCTCTCCAAGTCTTAGCTTCTTCTCTGTAAAGTGGCAGAATTAGGTTAATCTTTAAGCTTCTCTAAAGCCAGAGTTTCTCTAAGTATTTTTTAAGCCATCTGCCTCAGAACCACCCATGGAGCAAACACCTGAGTTTTAATGCACCGTTGAGATGTTTCTTATATACAGTCAACTTTGAAAACCACTGCCTCGAGTTCTAATGTTCTGTGATTCTGTGTATTCATTGAGCAACCAGGTGTATTCTCAGAACTCGATAGATGCCATGGAGATACAGAGCAATCTGAGGCCCCTAGCATTAAGGAGCTTGCTACCTCATTAGAGAAATAAGATGAACACATACCAAACAATATCAAATAATCTGTAATAGCAATTAATCAATTGTTGGAAATGTTAAGTACTGAAGGAGTACGGAGGAGGCATAATTAATGAGGGCTGAGGTACAGAGGCTGTGTGGGGGTGGGGAGGAAGGAGACTGGATAGGATCCAGATGGGTGTTTAGTATTTTCACAGATAGTGTGAGAGGGCAGCACAAGCCCTCAACTGGCACGAGCATGGACTAACAGAGCTATGACCAGTGTGATAGGTTCTGGTTGGGAAGGGGTGGGGAATACTTTTGGACAGGTGAGTAACGGGACAGCCAAAGTGCACCTCCACGCAGCCTCTCTGAGAGCTAACTCATCTTCCTGCCCTCCTCTTTCTAAGCCACAAATGTGTGATTGCCCTTGTCCCCTCCATTTCTTTCTTCATCAGACCATATCGTTTCTGTGGCCAAGTCCTATCAACTTCACCTTCTAAGTATTGTCTCTATTCCATTTTTGTTTCTACCCTTTGCTGCTCCTCACAGGCCTCGTGTTATCAAACATGACCCGGTCAAGTCCACCCTTCACAGAGCCACCCATGTAGTCGACCTAAGAAATAACTCAGACCCTTCCCCTCCTCTCAAAACCGTTCAGCTCCACAGTTGTTCCTCCCTTTCTGAAGGCTCCACAGAAGTCCTAGAACTCCAGCAAGCTCAAGAACTCCATTTCACAACCACCGACCTAAAAGATCAAGGCCAAGCTCCTCAACACGGGTTGAGGTCTTCTATAACCCTTCCCTGAATACCACACTCCTTGTAGTTTCCTTCACACACAATAGAGGTTTCCACTCACCCTGCCCACCTCCACCAGGAACAGCCTCTCTGCTCTGCACCACTGCCTCCAACACATACACACATATACACACTTGCATATGTGTGCACCCATGTGCACAGGCACACGCATGCACACACATACACATACACACACACAGCCTGACCAACTACTATTAGTATTCAAGGAAGTTTTTTTTTTTTAATCCTCACCTAAGGATAAATTTTTACTGGTTTTAGAGAGAGAGGAAGAGAGAGGGAAACAGAGAAACATCCATATGAGAAAGATACATCAGTTGCCTCCTGCACACACCCCAATGCGGATTGAACCCATAACCTGAGTATGTCCCCTCCCTGGGAATCCAACCTGAGACCTTTTGGTGTATGGGACAATGCTCCAACCAACTGAGCCACACTGGTCAGGGCCAAGGAAGATGTTCAATAAATCTTTGCAGAGGTTAACGTAGAACCTCAGAAACAAGGCTGAAGCATTTTATTTCCTACTAGAGGCCCGGTGCACAAAAATTTGTGCACTCGGGGGGGTCCCTCAGCCCGGCCTGTGCCCTCTCGAAGTCTGGGACCCCTCAGGGGATGTCTACCTGCTGGCTTAGGCCCGCTCCCCGGGGGATTGGGCCTAAGCTGGCAGTCAGAAATCCCTCTGGCAGCCCAGGAGCCCTCGGGGGATGTCCACTTGCCAGCGGGGAGCAGGCCTAAGCTGCAGTTGGACACCTTAGCGCTGCTGAGGAGGCAGGAAAGGCTCCCACTACCACCACTGTGCTGGCAGCCATCAGCCTGACTTGTGGCTGAGCAGAGCTCCCCCTGTGGGAGCGCACTGACCACCAGGGGGCAGCTCCTGCATTGATCGTCTGCCTCCTGGTGGTCAGTGTGTGTCATAGTGACCAGTCATTCCCAGTTGTTCTGCTGTTAGGGTCAATTTGCATATTACCCTTTTATTATATAGGATAGTTAATAACAAGGAAGCACTGAAGGTTTTGTGAATAACAGTGAAATGGCCAAAGCAGTAAGTTTAGACTATTACTCTGGCAGCAAAATGCTGATTGTGTTAGAGCAGAGGGAATCTGGGAGGAGGGACATCATCTAAGAATGTCTTAAAAGAAAATGATGTAGCCCAGCCGGCATGGCTCAGTGACTGAGCGTTGACCTATGAACCAGGAGGTACGGTTCGATTCCCGGTCAGGGCACATGCCCGGGTTGTGGGCTCGACCCCAGTGTGGGGCATGCAGAAGGCAACCGATCAATGATTCTCTCTCCTCATTGATGTTTCTTTCTATCTCTCTCTCTTGCTCTCTCTCTCCCTACCTCTCTGAAATCAATAAAAAAATATTTTTTAAAAAATTATGTAAAAGAAAATGTCAGGCATGGACCTGGCACACAGAGGGAAGCGCAATAAAAGGTACTTCCCTCCGAGAGAGAGAGTGAGTGAGGAAGCAATAGCAATGTGAGAAGAGTTGAAATCAAGCAAAGATGTCAGTATCAGAACACTTCCTCCTCTGAGACAGACAGCAAGGAAGAAAAGAGATGAGAATGGAAAGAAAAGCTGAACTAAAAAATATCAATGTTCAGGGAAGTTATATTAAGTGGTCAATATTCTCAACAAATCAGTAACTGTCTGCTAAACATAAGGAATTCTAAAAAGGAGCTGCAGTGCCAGGACAGGAACAAAGGAATGGAAGCTCCATGCGTCTTATGTCCTAAATCAGGGCTTGAGTGTTTGTTTTCTAACCTGTTGGCTGGGCCCCAAAATTGACCTCAGGCATGGAACCCAACATAAAAGTAAATGCTGAAAACAAGAAAAAGAGGAGAGGGGGGAAGTAACCAAGGCCCGAGGACAACCTTGGAAAGACCTACAGTTGGTCAGTGGGCAAGAGGAAGAACCAGGAGGAAAGTGGTCAGCAGCATCGGAGAATGGAGATCAAGTTATGTTACAGAACCTAATGGAAGAGAGAGTGTTAACAAACCTGCTCTTTCCTACACTTACTCTTTTCTGTCTGAGTGACTTGGTAAATATGATACTGAGATAGAGCAACATGCCGCAAAATAACAAAACTCTTCAAGTCTTTCATGTTGAAATTTATGATCCACATATAACATCAGTTGAAAATGTGGGCAAAACAAACCAAAGTGCTGATTACAACAATCTCCCTCCTATCCTCAGTAATGCCCCCCCCCCGACATAATTACTTCACCCCCACAAGTCTCCCCTTAAAAGGCTAAGAATCAGATTGAGAATAAGCATCTGATGATTTGGGGTTTTATTCTTCAGTTTTGTAAATTTATTTTTGTATTGCACCTCGTGATTTTTAAGCAACAAGTTTGAATGAAAGCCACAATAAATATCTATTATTAATTTCTTTTTTCCTCTTGTGACATGGTTAAGATTCTTATCAAATTATATATAGACTCTTGGTCAATTGAAAAATTAAATCTGAAGGCTGGCCAAGTACTTTTCCCAAGACCACTGCTCTGGACTGCTTGCTCCCACGGTGCCCGAGTCCCCGAGCCATGGTGGGGCCGAGCTGCCCACTCACCTGCATAAGTTCATGGCTTTCTAGAAGATCATGCTCTAGCATCTCCTGGGTGAGGCGCCCCATGGTGCTGTAGAATTCATCTGCCGTTTCACAGTTTTCTATCTGCCTAGAAGCAGAAGGACAGGACAAGGAATTGTGTCGGACACCCATGCTGTCTATCAGGTACGTGCTCCAGGTCCCACAGGGTATGTGGCCTCTGACCATCAAATCAATCACATCAGCAATCAACAAAACTCAAAATACTGGGACACACCCCCTATACAGCCTGCCATACACAGAGAAAAGATAAAAAATACCCACGGCAACTCGGGGGTACTTATTACGGGATGAGTTCCCATCTTTCCTACACGGCTCCCCAGCCTCCCAGCCCAACCGGTGGCAATTTTTACTGCTTCCATGTGACACATTTTACACATCAGAATACCCACCACTGATGAGAAATCATAACCATGAAATTAGATCTGAAGAACAATTATCCCCAGGAGGAAATCTGTTGCTGTTAATCTACAAACCGTGGTATCACTGATAGACTGAAAACCAAACCACAGTAGAAATAAAAGATGAGACATACTAGAACTTTATCTGTATATGTCATCAGTCCACAGGATGCTTTCACAGGCAGAATTTTTTCAGTTCTTCTCAGGGCATTGCTGCTAGCTGGAGATCGCACCCTGCTTCTTACATTTGTTTCTACATATAAAGAAGCTGTTACCTGGCAACCTGTGAGGCAGGGTACACGTTAATCCTTCTTCTCGAGGGAAAAAAAAGGAGTGGTCCGAAACAAAGAGCACGGTGCCTCTGTTTTATCTACCATGACATCCTCTGTGTAGGAGGATGACTCTATTGGCCCACCAACCACAAGATACAGGATGATGTACGCTGACGTTGGGGGATTTTCATACAGCCATCCCCCCAAAAAATAAGATGCTGGGAAAACTTCAGGCTCTGGAGTGCTGTTCAAATCTCACTGCCACAATCAGGTAAATAAATAAATGAGATGAACTGTTGAGGTGTTATTACAAAAATACAAAGCAGCATGTGGGCATCAATAAAAAAGTGGTTACGTTTACCCTGGGGGATGAGGAAGAGAAATAATGCTGAAGATGAATTTTGAAAAATATTCTCCAGGTTGACAAGGAAGAAAAAGTATATTTTTGGCATGGAGGCAGGAGACAGCTGCAGGCCCTACCCAAGAATCTGCAAGTGGCTCCCCGGGGCCAGAATGCAGCCAGGGAGCTGCAGGGGGAGAGCTGCAAACAAAAAACACTGAAGGCTTCACCTGCCAGCTGAGCCCCTGCAGGCAATGATCACTGGAAGGCTCTGAACAGGGAGTGTGGGAACAGACATGCCCTTGGCAAGGTCAGCCTGGAGGTGGCCTGGCAAGTGTGGGTGTGGTGGGGAAACCAGGGAAGACACACCGAGACAGGCCAGGCATGAGGGAACGAGGGAATGAGCCAGAGCAGCAGGGTCAGAGGAGAAAGGACACGGGAAAGAGATGCCAGGGAAGGTGAGCTGATGCTCTACAACCTGCATATTCTAAAAGTACCCTTGGTGTGAGTGAGAGGGAGACATTCAAGTTGCAGAAGCAAGGGGAGAGGTCCCATGGATAACCATACACGAGGCACATATGTTACTCAGGCGCACATAGCTGGAGACTACCTATCTGTTTTTAGGATTTTTCCAACGGACAGTTTGTGGGGAACAGCACAGGCACTGGAGTCAGAAAGATCCAGGTTTAAGTCCCACGGACTTCACAGGGCTACGGGCAGGATGAATGAGATCATGTGTTTACATGGTCTAACATAACGATGGCACTGTAGGCACTTGATGTATGCTGGTTGCCTTTCCTTCTGCTTAACAAGTCGCACACTCAAAACATGTAGAATTATGATGAACAAGGGCTCTGAAACATTTAAAATTCTACCAGTCTGATTCATATATCCTCTGAACTGCATAAATAGGAGCCATATATTATCAGTATATTCACATTGTTAAAAATCACAGACTCCAGAGCCAAGGGAGCTGGGTTCAAAAACCGGCCTTTCCACTTCTAACTGGGTGACCTTGGGCAATTAACTTCTCTGTGCCTCAGTTCCCACATCTGTAAAATGGGGATAATAAGAGGACCTAACTCATAGGATGATGGTGAGTACCAAAGGAGTTAGCTTTACGTGTAGAGTGCTCAGAGCAATGCCTGCCCATTGCAAGCACTCAATGAATATTGGATTTAAAAGTGTAGCCATTACCTTTTCAACAATGTGACAGCCCTGGAGTGACAATATGACTAAATTCTAATCCTACACATAATGAATAGATGGCCTGGGGACTGAGGGGTCCCGGGTTCCATTCCGGTCAAGGGCATGTACCACAGTTGCAGGCTCGTCACATGCAGGAGACAATCAATAGGTGTGTTTCTCTCACATTGATGTTTCTCTCTGTCTTTCCCTCTCTTCTACTCTTTCTAAAAATCAATGGAAAAATATCCTCAGGTGATGATTTAAAAAAACATACCAAACTTCTGACAGAAAAAAAAAAAACTACCTCTGTATCTTAAGTTAACTATAACAATTTCATTCTAATACAGGGATTGGCAAAAGTAGGTTTACTGTTGTTCATATGGAAAATAATACAATTAATGAATAATAATACCAAAATAAACTGTTTCATGTATTCACAACTGTAAACCTACTTTTGCCCACCCCTGTATTTCTTCCATTACCAAAAAGGTAGAATTTCAATGTAATAGTCATAATATAGTCAAGAGGGGTGAAAACACCCTAGTTTTTTCAGCCCAGCTGCTAGTAAAGAATGTAAGTAAAATCTCTTTAGTGATGTGTTTGGTAGTAATAGATTCCCACACACAGTGTTAATTCTTGATGAAAGGAAAGAAGTTCCCTATGTTCTACTGACTATGTACCAAGCACCTTGCTAGACACCTTATATTTATAATCTCATTTAATTTCATCACAGCCCTAAAAGGCTGGACACAATAAGTAATAAAGATTCAACATAATCCAAATTGTGGTATTAACCAACAAATCCACCTACTTCTTTCCAGACCTCACAGTTCCTCATGCACCTAAGTCTCTTCAAAACTAGTGTCCGGAGAGATGCTGACAAAGAGCAAACCAGCTGGACACACACACTAGGAGGAGGAGGAGAATTCCAGGCCTGAACAAGCCTGCCCCCTTCTCTAAAGTAGATGCCATCTGTCCCCAACAACCAAGAATGTGTCAGCAGGGGAGGGTGAGTGGGAAGCCATCAACCAAAGAATTTGTATGCATATATGCATAACCCAGGGACAAGGCAATGGGGTGGTAAGGGCCTGGGGTGGGGAAGGACGGGAGTGGGCGGGAAGAGGTTAATGGGGGGAAAGGAGGACCTATGTAATACTTTCAACAATAAAGATTAAAAGAAAAAGAATGTGTCAGCTGAGATCCCAGAAGGCTAAAGCCACTGCACAAAGTTCACAACTTCCTCTTTTCCTCACAATTATCGACGCTTTACATGTTAGAGCCCAAAAACTGCTCAAGGCCCCCAACACCACAGAACAGAAGAGAAGGGGGAAGTCACTTACTCTCCCAACTTTGCCCAGATAGCCAGCGACACCCTTAGGATGATTTCCGAACCTTCAAAAAAGACAGAATCCCAAATCTTTAAAACGGTGTGGTTAGGGAGGCACGTGGCGAAGAGAGTCAGAAACCACTGCATCGTGAAGACATTCGTGAGCGGGGGCTCGTATCCACCTGAAATAAAACAAACACTCCATTTCTTCAGAATTGACAGTTTGCAAGATATAAAGGCACCCTCTTTCAGTCTCCCAAGTCCACCCAACTATGTTACTTTTCCTGACTGATTTGTTGATGGGGCTAAATTATGGTTCTTTCCTCTTTTTTCCTTCCTTTTTCTAGAAGGACACAGGTGTGTTTAATAAAAATCTCAATAATATGAACTTCACATATTCTTTATGGTACTTCAGAAATCTTAACCTAACACTTAATTTGGTTCTGCCTATTATGGGATGCTGAAAATTAAGGAGAATGTCTTCCTCACCAAAAATGAAATTTAAAAAAAGGATTTTAGTCCCTCGAAAGCAAACGCCAATTTCCAAAATATCCTAAAGCCCACTTTTATTCAAATGCTGCTCAGAAAAGTAAAATTGCTCATTAGGAATTGCTTGTCTACTTCTTAAAGTATTCATAGTTCTCAGACCACAATGGAATTAAACTACAAATTAATTAGAGAAAGTTAGAGAAAGATAGCTGGAAACCTCCCCCCCCCCCCCGCCCCAAATATCTAGAGATTAAATAACATGAAATTTTAAAATATGTTGAACTACACAGTTTTAAATATCTGAGATCCGGCTCACTTTGAAGTTTCTAAATTCACTAAAAAACACAGAGCTCCCTCTCATTTCCTGTGATGGCATAAGTATGCATTTTAATGAAGTAAAATTTAGATATGTGGACTGCTTCTCCCTCCTAATTACAGTCAGAATATGCATTTACCCAAGTATAAGCAAAAAGAGATCTGCTCTGCTGCCCTCATTTTCTTCCTTCTTACCTAGGAACAAAGGGAGCATCTCTTCCCAGAGACTAGAATCTGAGGTCACCCCTTGCAGGCCAATGCGGAGCACTAGGGGGAAAACATGGACCCCAGTACAGCGTGTCTGACTATGGGACAGGTTAAGGCTCTTCGACCAGGGAGTCTTATGAAATCCACACAGGTGCATAATTATACTGCACAGCCAAATTAAATGTGAAGATTATTCAAATGATTTAGAAGGAAATGCTTAGAGACACACAGGTGTCACTAAAATTTCCAGTGTATTTTAATTGAGGACAGATTAGGTCCTCAAAATCATTTAATATTTTCCTAGGTTGAAATGTGTGGCCAGTAACTGGCAACCATTTACAGGAAACACAATACACTTCTGACTCTTCTTTCTGGTCTCCTGAGCACAGCCAGGGAAGTGCATGCAGGGGCGTAACTACAGCGCTAGCTTAGGTTATCCGGAAAGCTGGCTGATGCCTGCTGGACGGTGGTGACTCTCAGAGCTGTAACAGAGCAGTCTCCATCGCCACCTTACTCAGCCCAGTGCCTTCCTTCAGGGTTCAAGTTCTACCTGCAGCTCCTTCTCCAGCAAGAACTGGCCCATTCATCTCAAGTGAATCTGCGTACCCTTAGCATGAATCAATAAAAGTAACATTAAACATTTCAACTCAAATTCTCTCCTACAACTTTATGAAAATACGTAGTCCACTCTTCCATAACCTCAGTGCTTTAGGAAAAAAATTACAGCATGTGCTAAATGGTACCTGCAGCTCATCTTTAAAGATGCCTATAGATTTGGTGCCAGCTTAGAGAAGTTTAACTAGATGGCGAGACATGAACCCCATTCTTCATCTAAAAGACAAGAATGTCTGGTACCTGTGACAGATGAGGTTCCTGACCAACTTCCTAACTATGACCATTCAAAGGTTCAGTATGTGGCCCTCTGTTGGTTTTTTGTTTGTTTTGTTTTGTTCCTGTTCTCTAAAAATCTATTTCATTGCATCAAACTCTCACCAACAGAAATACCTGAAAAGATGTATTTCCATTCAAGGTGTAGGCTCCTATGTACGGTGGAGTCAGAAAAGTAAAAAATTTCAAAGGTACAATAGCATTGAATCATCACTACCTCCACTCTCCTTGTTTGCAGTTCTCTGAAGAGTGTCCAGGTGCTCAGATAATTCAGGGAGCTTCAGTCTCAGGAGGTCTCTGAAGACAGCCATATCCACAGACAACGCCCGGAGATTATTGACAAAATAGCTCTCGGGAAGTACCTTGTCAATAAGGTAAATCATAATCTGAAGAAAAAAAGATAAAAAAACATATTCAAATGGATCAAATGTAGTTAGCCAAAACACACTGTCGTTTAAATGTGTCAGTACCAAATGTTCTGGATCTTCGAGGTTCAACTCCACCCTGGGTGAAGAGCATGTGCCATAATTACCTGGATAATTCATCATTATCTAAGCCATTCATCGTTATCTAAGTAAGTTCTCAAAGCAGCTCAGACCCGCAGACTGCTATGGTCTACAGTTTCTACATGGGCTGCTAGACCTGAGGCTACCCATGGGTGGCTGTGATCAGACAACCCTCAGCCTCGCTCTGAGAAGTACGAGGTGGAGCACGTGCTTCCGCAGCAGCCAGCAGGAATCCCAACACTGGCTCCTTGAAGTCAGCAGCTTTCCAACCTTCCTACGAAAACCAAGACTGGCCCATCACAAAACATCCCCCTGAAGCCCATCTCAGGATTCACCTACCATCAACCTGGGTTATCAGAATAACTGATGTGGGCTCTCTGTCCACTTTCCTTTCCTGGGAGAATGCAACAAGGTTTTGTTTGAACAAATGAGACTTTTAAAATCTGGATTCCTTCCATAAGGGTGTCTCATACATAAGTTCTTCAAATTACTACTTTCATTCTCATTTTTTTTATTTGCGTTACCTTTTCTAAGAAGTCAAGAACCACTAGAACGGCCCAGCAAAACACACATGTTCTAATCTCTGATCCCTTCCCTGTCAGCACACATGCTCTTCATATGCCCTCCCTGCTAGAAGACATGCTCATTCCCCAGACCACAAGAAAATCAAAATTGAGAACAAAATCATAGCTGGCCCTATATGTTGGTGGAAAGTAGCTATCTCACATATTGATTTTCATCATTTTGCAAAACCTAATTTCCCCCCAAAATTATCTCCCAGACCTGCCAATGGCCCATTTTCCCCTCATCCCTGGCTTATAATTTCTACTTTTAAGGTCAGAGTTTTAACTAAGTCAATAAGGGTAGAGACATATTCTCAAGAATACCTGCCCCTCCCCCCAGATCTTTATTCCAGGATTAGGAAGGCCCAGGGAGCTGCTATAGCCGTCCTATACGTATAGGGACAGAATTTACCAGGTAAATGTACCATCACTCTGAAAATAGGAACTTAGCAATAAAAAGAGTATATTCAATCCGTGTCAAGGGAGGTGGTCCCAGAGTGCCCAGGCCAGGTGAGGGGGGAGTGAGTTTCCAGCAGAGCACAGTGTCCGGTCAGACTTCGCATACCATGGTAAGGGAGGGGGGCGTACAGGATCGCTTTTCATCTAGGATAAGTTATGTAAGACTGAGAAAAATATTTAAGTTTTTATGAAGAAATTATGAGCCTCAAGATTACTCAAAAACAAGAAAACAACAAAAAAATTACCAATTCTCATAATAATTCTGTGACACAATAAAAATATTTAAGTTTTTATGAAGAAATTATGAGCCTCAAGATTACACAAAAACAAGAAAACAACAAAAAAATTACCAATTCTCATAATAATTCTGTGACACAATGAAATTCTCTATCCCATAGCATCTCAAAGTCTGAGGTCTTATGTCAGCAATGTCACTCCACCCACTACTGTATTTCAAGGACCAAACATTGCATTAAGAAGAAGAAGAAGGGGGAGGGGGAGAGGGAGAGACAGGAAGGAAGGAAGGAAGGAAGGAAGGAAGGAAGGAAGGAAGGAAGGAAGGAAGGAAGGAAGGAAGCAAAGATAGTCTCTTCAACAAATGGTGCTGGGACAACAGGACATCCAAATGCAAAACAAACTGAATTTAGACACAAACCTTACACCCTTCACAAAAACTGTCTCAAAAGAGATCATAGACCTAAATGTAAAATCAATCCTATAAAATCCCTAGAACATAGCATAGCCTAGTGACCTTGGGTATGGGAATGACTTTTTAGATATAACACAACACCAAAGACATAATCTATGCAGAAATACTAATAAGCTAGACTACATTAAAATTTAAAACTTCTGCTCTGTGAAAGTGACAGAGGCCCAGGGAGCTGCTATAGCCGATATAGTGAATTAGAAGACAAGCCACAGTCTGGGAGAAAATACTTTCAAGAGATCCATCTGATAAAGGACTGTGGTCCAAAATACACAACGAACTCTTAAAACTCAATAATAAGAAAACAAGCTTTAAAAACAAACAAACAAAAAAACTCGATTAAAAAATGGCCCAAAAACCTTAACAGACACCTCACCAAAAATAAAACAGTTACTAAGTGCAAAAAAGCAAGGAAAATGGTTTGCCTCCATTTAATAAATTATATATTTCCCTACTAATTACAACTCGCAGAGGCCAAAATAGCTGTTGGAAAAACACCAACAGCCAATATTTTCCTTTGCATCAGAAGTATTTCTTCATAAACCCAACCTTCCTCTGCACATTAAATGCCTAACCAGATTCCTAAATGATGATAATGTCATTTCATTCCATAAAGTTCATTTTCTTAAATATTCAGTTTCTGAGCTTTATTTAATCCATCTTTTTATGTGACTTTTTACTTTCTCAAGTACCATCACTGAGTCCTTTCATGATTTGATTGGCATCATAACCCTTTCCCCAAACCTTCCCACCCCACCCCCAACCTGAATTGTTTATTTCAGCTTTTTAATAGAGCAGTTCCCATTTTATAGTCATACAAGTAAAAGCTGGGGGGAAAAATAACTAAAGCTGATGGACTATTTAAACAAAATTGCTTCTTAAAAAAAATGTTTTAAAGTCATGTATTCGATTTGTCACTGCCTCCCCCGTCCACCCCTGCCTATTTGATGAACAAGTAGCTTCAAAGCTGTTTCCTTAAATACATGAATGGAAAAAGTGAGAGGGTGAACACAGAATGAGATTGTGTCAGGCTGGCTTTATCATTAATTCCATGATGTGTATAAAACCAGGAGGAAATCTGCTTATCTTTCCATATCAGAATTAGTCCCTGGTTGAGAATATCACAACTGGTGTTTGCCATAGTCAAACAAAGAATGGGAGTGGGGGGAGGTGCTCTTGAATACAAAGGCGAAGTAACCATCACAAAGCATTGCAATCAACAGCAGTCTGAGGATTCAAATAAGAAACAATCCCATATAGCCCCAAGCAAGTAAGGCAGTGGTCATCTTCCAAGTGTAAAATGCTTTCTTCCTCCTGAAGACTTATTTCTGGTGATTCACTGAATCACATTCAGACCTACATGCTTAAACTGCTAGTGTCCCATCTCAAAGTGTTTTCAGAATTTATTATTTTTTTTTTACTAATAAAGGCCCTGGGCATCAAAGATTAAAAGATAATTCGCTTCTATAACCTTTCTCCAAGCAATCTGCTTCCATCATAAACATTCACTCTCAGCCTACCTCCTCCATACCTCATCCCAGATATGCAAGAATAAAGCAATCTAATAAGATCCAACCAGAATTTAGGATAACTGGTGGAGTAGGCGGTTTCTACCATGACCCTAGGGATTCCCCATCTCCTGAGAGTAACACTCTTATATAAACCCTTTCCCTGGAGTATGGGCTGGACCTAGTGCCTGGTTCCTAATGAACAGAATGTGGGGAAAAGGATGAAATATGACTTCTGATATATTGGCTTCAAATCTGTAACCTAATCTCTTCTGTGTTGCTCACTCTCTTTCACTCTCTTGCTCATTGAGGGATACCAACCAGAATGTTGAACAATGGTGAGCCCCACAAAGTGGAACTAAAAAAGGGCTCTGACCAATAGCTAGCAAGGAACTGAGGCCCTCAGTCCAAGACCTGTGAGGAATTACAGCTTTCCAACAACGACCTAAATGAACTTGGAAGTGAATGCTCCCGCCTAGTCAGGCCTTCAGATGAGACCACACCCCAGCCAACAGTTTGAATGCCACAATCATGTGACTCTGAGCCAGTTAAGCCACGCCCAGATTCCTAACTCAAAGAAACAGTGAGGTAATACCAAGTTTGCTGTTTTAAGCAGCTCCTTTGTTATGCAACAATAAGTATTAATATAATTAATAACTAACTTGCTTTAAAAATAGATGTCTCCTAAGTGAATCTAAACACCTAATCATCCTCTTCACATCTGGTAGCTACATGAGTCTGTCACTTGACCTGGCTTTAACCTGGGGGAAACGGTATCATGGGTAATTACGAAGGCGTGGCAAACACTTCGGAAGGAAGTGGGCATCAGGGAAGAGAAATTATAGTTCCAATATTTAACTCTCTGAAGAATTTTAGTTGCCTTCTTCAGAGCCTGATACTCACTTTCAGAGCATCCCCTTCGTTGCCTTCCACCACTTCCAGAATTAGTGCAGCCAGGATGTTAAAGCCTTGGCAGTACCCAACATTCTTGTTCCAGCGGGCATAGGCCAGCAGGACCCGCTTCAACACAACCCTGTCTTGCTCCGCCTCCTGGCCACAGTAAGAACTGCAGCCTGTGCGGTGAAGATCCTAAAATAAGAGGAAAACAGTAATTTTTTAAAGTGACTTACTATACTCTCTCTCAAAACCAAAAAATAAAAACAAAAACGGTAGCTATTTCTTTTCCTCAGCATTAAGTAGATTATAAACATGGACTGTAGTTTTTTAAAACTGTATATGCAACATGGGTCAAAAGAAATTCCTTTTCTTTTTTTCCTAATGTTTTCTAATATGCTTAGACATTTTCAACAGGAATTGCAGTCAGGCAAATTTTCTACTTGAAGTGTTTCCAGAATTAACACAAAGAGGGACTTAGAATTAACAAAATTTCATATAAGTTGACAGTTTATTTAATACCATATCTCAGATAAAACAAGTCATTTCAACATATGTATGATACATGCCAACATTACTTCTTACAGAAAAGGATATAAAGCTTATTTAGCTATCAAAACTCCAAATAGTATTAAGGAGCAAACCAAAATAGCAAAAAATGCGACCTGTATTGTAGAGGGACAGAAAAATCATTCTGTCTAAAACAGAAAAATTTTCTGTCCACATTGTTTTATAAATTTGTGTAAAACAGACAAAAATTTAACATTTGATCAGGGCAATATCCATAATTTTATTACCAGGCAGAGACTATGATTTTCAGGAGCTGAAGTCATTTTACTGACAAAGTATTCACTTCAAAAATAAAATAAAAGATCTTCTTATATAACCATAACTAATGGACATAAGACACTGGGGGGTAAGGGAGGGCAGGGGCTTGTAGAAAAAGAAAAAAAAAAAAAGATCTTCTTAATAACGTGATCATTCTAAAATGTGCATTGCCTTAATTTGCAATTTAAACAGAAAGAAAATATTTAAAATATACAATACTTCATCTGTGAGAAACACATTCTGAAATTCCAAATAAACAGCTGAAATGTCAAAATGTAAAAGCTTTTCAAGCATACCATATAAAATTCCATAATATATTTTTAGGATTTGTCTGAAACTGACCAAATTAGATCAGAAAGTAGCTCCTTTTAGTTAGTACTTCCTCAGAAAAAAAAAAAAAATCTTCAAATCTGCCAAAACATTAGCCATCTTGTGGTGACCAAAATTTAGATGAAACAAGTTTCCTTTTAAAACCTCAGCTTAGTGTCACACTGTGATGTATTCATATAAAGTTAAAAGCCACGTGCTACAGGCTTATGTAAGAGAGTAATAGTGAGATCAAATCGAATCAGCAGGGTTGGCTTTTGGCACCAGGTTCTAACCAACTGTAATGATCCAGGTAGGCAAACCACCGCTGCCTCCAGGGCTGGCCTGGACCCTTGACCAGCTAGTTTAATTAGACTGGCCCACCAGTCAATCTAATTATATTCATGAATTGTCAGTTAAGAAATTATCAAAGACCCTAATAAGAACCCAATTATTATAACAGGACTATCCTTAACTTTAAATTCCTCAGTTACTTTTATGTGAAAATCCAGTTAACAGCGCTGATCAATGCTAAAAAAAAAAAAAAAAAAAAAAAAAAAGAATTCATCTGTTATGTGAACAAATAAGCTGAATATGAATGGAAACATTTTATTCTTACTTGGCAACACACAAACTTTTGAAGACAATGTATACAGTCAAAGTTCTTCATTAAAAAGCTATTAACTAAAGAAGAAACGGAAAATATACAGACTTTCGGACCATAAGGCTTGATGCTCTATCCAGGAAACGTCTGGCTCTTGGAATCTTCCTTCTAAGTTAGGACAACAGGCCCCGCTCAGGGGCATTACCTTGACTATCTGAATTCCCATTGAGTCATCATCCGGATTACTCCTTTCATTGAAAGTGAAGCGCAAGGTTTTGTCCCAGTCAATGGCTATGCTGTGCAAATAGTGATCTGCCAAGGTCAACCAAACCTAAAATATGAATGAAGAAGGATGCTAAAGTCAAATACATAATTTCACCTTTACTAGGACTAGTGATTGCATACAAGAAAATGGGAACTGTTCCTAGCCCAGAAACAGCCCACGTGCAGAAATCCAAAAGAGCCTCCCTGAGATGTGTATTGTACTGAATTGCATCAATTAGGACCTTTCATGTGTTTGAAATTTCAATTAATATTTGTTGAGTTCCACTATGTATCAAGCAATGGTCCTAACATTAGGAATACTGTTAAAAAATGTTTTTCAAGTTTTACTTCAGTTCATTGAATTAGCTATATTATAGTACAAGCTTGTTATACTTGGCTCTGAATTGTTGTCTATGCTTGAGCAATAGTCACCTGGTCCTTCATGGAGAATGGGCCTTTTCTCACCATGAGGTGGTCTCTGCTTCTAAATCATATCTCTCTCTCTCTCTCTCTCCACACACACACACACACACACACACACACACACACACACACTCACACACACATACGACAGATGAGCTCCCATAATGAATAACTTTTAACTGTCTTTAGAGTCAATGAATATTTTTACACATTATCCTGAAAAGCTGTTTCTGAAAGATGTATTTCTTTTTTTTAAAATATATTTTATTGATTTTTTACAGAGCGGAAGGGAGAGGGACAGAGAGTTAGAAACATCTACGAGAGAGAAACATCAATCAGCTGCCTCCTGCACACTCCCCACTGGGTATGTGCCCACAACCAAGGTACATGCCCCTGACCGGAATCGAACCTGGGACCCTTGAGTCCGCAGCCCGACGCTTTATCCACTGAGCCAAACCGGCTAGGGCTGAAAGATGTATTTCTTAAGGTCATTTTTAATGTATATTTTGAGGAACCCCTTATATTCAAATTCTAGCAGAATTAGACTAGGTCTATAAACTGATATAGTAAGAGAGCATTTCAAGTTTTGGTATCTGAACATAGTTAGCAGGAATATCACTGCTTAATATCTCCACTCAGACTTCTCTCCTAAGCATCAGAATCATATGTCCAAATGTCCACTTGACACCTTCAACATAGATATCTAATAGGCATCTTAACCTTAATAGATACAAAGCCGATCATCTAACCCATCACCACCTCAGCTACACATGCACACATATGAACACACACATCTGCTCCTCCCATCTAAGTAAACAGTAACTCTCCCCTTCCAGTAGCTCAGGTCAAAATCGTGAAGTCACCGTTGACATCCTATTACCTCATATTCAATCTAATAGGAATTCATGGCAACTCAGCCTTGAAAATATATCTAGAATCAGACCCCTTCTCCATCTCTTGCCTAAATTATAAGTCTCTACTAGCCTCCCACTTCTGTCCTTGTCCCTCATATTCTCGAGTTAGTAGCCAAAGTAGTCCATTTAAAATATAAGTTGTATCATATAATTCCCCTGCTCAAAATTACCCAATGCTTCCCATCTCACACCCAGCAAAGTCCTACTATGGCCTATAAGGTCTTACGTGATCTGCCATCCTCTTAACCCCATCACACTACCTCTATGAGCCTCTCTCCTATTGCTTTCCCCCTTTTCACTGTGCTTCAGCCACCCCGTCCTCTTCCTTTTGCTTGTCTATTCCTGAAATGCTCCCACCTGAGTGTTTTCTGGCATACTCTTCCCCCAGGGTAGCTGCATGGCCCACGGCTCACCTCCTGCAAGGCCTCATTTAAATGACACTTTGCTGTTTAAAATTCCACCTCCTTATCGCCATTTCCCACAGTTTCACTTATTTTTCTGCTTTATTCTTATCCATGGCACTTATCACCATCTGATATACTTTATATATTTTATTCACTGTAAGCTCCATAAGTACAAACATTTTGGTCTGGTTTTTCTTTCCACTGCTCTATCCCCAGTACCTAGGACAGTACCTGGTGCAGAACAGATAATCAATAAATATTGAATGAATGAATAATGAAAGGGGACATGTTTTAAATTACTAAATTTAGAATATCATTTTTTACACTCCAGAAATTTAAAGAGGGACAGAGTGATGGCCTTTTGTATTTCAGCCCTACCAATCCTCCTTACCTTTCTCCTCCATTCTTTTGGTATTCCTGTTGATAGTCTGGCAACTGCCTTGAGAGCATCATACCACTAGGAACAAAGAAGAAATATTGGCAAAATGCTACTACTGACCTGGGTAAGCACTTTTCAATCTTTTTTTTTCATCCTGACATCTGTAGAGCATAAACTCTGTACAGTACACTGGGTAACAGTCAACTTCTTCCAGCCGATATGACTGGTGTGAGGACTATGCCTGCCCCAAGCCCCACCTTAGCACCCTTAACACACCTGTGATCCATTTGCAATCCACGAAAAATAATTGGGAAGCACTGGTTCAGAAACCAAAACATGTACTATGGATTCAGAATAACAGGTGTTTGGTTTTGTAATTTTTTTTCACACTTGCACCATTAATAGAAAGTACAAAAATTTTCATGGTAAGTATAAACCCAAGCGTCATCTGTATTTTTAAAAATGATTTGTCTTCTTATGCTTGTCAAAGTTTTCCCATTTTGAGAATGCATCTCAGTATATTATACCCTGTAGATACCCCAAAAGAAGAGTATTATCAAAACCAAACAAAGTTACCTGCTGAAAACCATTTCTACTCCAACAAACTAGACAACCTGGAGGAAATGGACAAATTCCTAGAAAAACACATAACTGTTATTTTGGGAGAAAATAAGTTACATCAAAAATAGAAGTAAAAATTAACTGAACCATCATGAAGTTTTTTAAACTTTTACTAATTTTTAGTCAATTTTGTTAAAGAAAAAGAATATTGGTTGTTACTATAGAAAAAAATAACCTATAGCAATAGAATGGAGCTTTTCCCATAAGATGGTGGTTTCCACAGCTGTCTGGAGTAGTGCCAAACCAAAAAACAAATACATTTTTTAAAAAAATCACAGGCTTGGAGTTAGACCTCCATTCAACTTTGGTTTCTAGAGTCAAATAAATAATTTAACCTGCCTCAGTCTCATTTCTTTTTTCCTTTTTTAAATCCTCACCGAAGGATATTTTTCCATTGATTTTTAGAGAGTGGAAGAGAGAGGGAAAGACAGAGAGAAACATCGATGTGAGAGAAACACATCAATTGGTTGCTTCCTGCATATGCTCCAATCAGGCTCCAGGCTGGGGAGGAGCCTGCAACCAAGGTATGTGCCCTTGACCAGAATCGAACCTGGGACCCTTTGGTCCACAGGCCAATGCTCTATCCACTGAGCCACACTGGCTAGGGCAGTCTCAATTCTTTATCTTTAAAAATTAGGATAAATAATACCTATCTCAATAGATAGTTGTGATGATTAACTGTAAATCATCTAGCACTATATCATTAATATTTATAAAACTTAGGAAGAGAATTCTCTACTTACAGAATTTGTTTTCTAGCGCATTTGAGTGGATTATGTCTATTAGGGAAATGTCAGTGGAATATCAAAAGTTATAAAAATAATATCACTGCCCTCCCACTTATGGAATCCTTAGTAGTCCTATTGGAGATTTCCTGTTTTTAAATTCTGTCTTAATAAACTTAGCTATTGGAGAAAAAAAGTTGGTATGTTTAGTTATAGACTACAAGCTAAAAATATAACTGAACTCTAATGCTAAGTTACCTACAACTTTAGATAAAGTTCCAAAGTTGTTGTTTTTTTAATATATTTTATTGATTTTTTACAGAGAGGAAGGGAGAGAGATAGATAGTTAGAAACATCGATGAGAGAGAAACGGAGATTTCTTGTTTTTAAATTCTGTCTTAATAAACTTAGCTATTGGAGAAAAAAAAGTTTGTATGTTTAGTTATAGACTACAAGCTAAAAATATAACTGAACTCTAATGCTAAGTTACCTACAACTTTAGATAAAGTTCCAAAGTTTTAAGTTTATTTTGGAACTTCTCTGTTCCAAATCCCAAATCTATGGAATTGAAGTACATAAATAGGAGAATACATAAAGACTATATGTTTGATATGTATATTGGGCTTCTTTTAATTCAGAATTCCATGTTAGAAGCATATGTGCTGTCGTTATTAAGGTAAAATTAAATGACAATTTTTATTCCTACTTAAGTTGTGTTTTAAAAAAATAGTATAATCAAATCTAAAAATGCTACATTTTCTTTTCCTACAATTTCAAAATCAATGAAATTACATTTTAAGTCACTTTTTAAAAGACATGACTTGAAAGTTCAAGGATCAAGATATACCAAACATTAGCCATAGCATTCAGTTCTAAATGATTGTCATTTATGATGAAATGTTTGCTTCTAAGATGTTGATAGCAGATTAGGCGTACTGAAAACCTCTCCACAACTACGTAGAGCTGGTACGCGGGTAGGAACAATCTTCAGAATTTGCAAAATTATAATAATAAAGTAGACCAGTCTTTTTAAAAACATGCTGGTATATATGGAGTCAAGAAGCTGGAAAGAGATGTGTCTGACTTGCCCAAGCCCAGGAGAGCATGCAGATGCCCTTCGTGGAGTCCGGGAAGAAGGCTGTGAGTACATGAGAGGGGCCTCACATTTCTAAAGTCAAGCTGTGGTAGAGAAGCCCAAGATAGTTCTTTTCAAAGCTTCGGGTTCAAAACCATACTCTGTCTGGGTAGATAACATTTTCTTCCCCCAATATATATCCAGCACCCCCACAGATTCTCCCTCTCTGTGAGCTGGTTTAAATGAAGCCCAGGCCTCAGTGCCAAGCAATGATGCAATGGCCACAAGAGTGCCTGCGGCTCCAGCGCAGGATTTAAGGCTGGAACACACCCGGCGGTGAGGTTGCTGTCCAGACCCTGGGTGCTGAATGGAGGAGGTCTAATCATGACGTTTGCTTTGGTCGTGTAACAAAGACCAGGAAGTTCGGTCCGCACGGAATGATTTCTATCGACCTAAAAGCCCGGATTCCCTGGATGTAGTCCCCAATATGCTCCCCGGACTTGTTCGGAGCACCTGCCGAGAGTCCTGCCGAGTACCAGGCGGTGCTGTAATCCAGCTGCGTTAGTCAGTCAAAACCACAACTATTTTCTCCTGGTCAGAAATGAGTCACAGGCTTGAACTAGAATTGATCATTTGCTGCCTGTCGGCAAAAGCTGAAATCAGGTCATTTTCATCGACTCGTCTAACTGAATGAATGCGGGGAGGCGGGGAGGGAAGAAAGGAGGTTTATGTTTCATCTGATCATCACAGCTGTTCCGGGTTCAGAAATACAAAACACTTCTAATGTGGGAAGGAGATTTTTTTTTTTAAGGGTAAAGTAAGACGGTGAATAAACACTACAGTCTCTGTAACTAGACACTTCCTTGGGGAGAAAAACAAAGGAACCACGAGCTTCGGAAAGGCAGCCACGCTTTCCACCCTTTGGGGGCTCAGTGCCTCGGCAGATTCGCCCCTGCAGCCTCAGGCTAGCAGGTCTCCGAAGGCGCTGGGAGGCAGGGGCTGGGGGAGGTCGAACCCGCCTGGAACCCAGCTGGTGCCCCTCAAGGGACGGAAGAGTGCCAAGCGCCGGGCGAGCGCAGCTGGCTCCCTCTGCGGCCACCCTTGCCAGAAAGCTCTGAGCCCAGGCTCCCGCGCCAGGGCCGGGCTCATGAGCCCCGGGGAGGGATGCCGGAGGGTGGAGCAGGCGCCGAGTTATGCAGCCTGGAGAAGCAGGGATGTGTAAACACAGGCTGACAGCAAAAAGGGCCCAGCCTGGCACAGTCAGGTGCGCTCCCAGACTTCACCTGTAAGAAGGGATCTCCGGGCTGCAGAAGTGTTTCCTGCCCGCTCCGAACTCGGACAAACACACCAGAAGCTCCAGGCGAGCTGACCCCACACTCACGCCGCGGGACCCTCAGCAAATTCCTCCCCTTACCGCCCACCCCCACCCCCCGCCGATTTTCCCTTCGAATCTACTGCCTTCCCCTCAGACCCGAAGTATCAAACCGGTGCTTTTCTCCACCTCTTTCAAATGAGCCTGGCGCACAATTGGTAGCGCGGCCTCAGGCAGCCCGGGCAGGCTCCAGCACTTGCCCAGCTCGGGGCACAGGCAGGACCAGACCACGCACAGGCCGCGGGAGCGGGGGCCCTAGGGCTGCGAGCGAAGCTGCGGGTCCTCCGCGCCTTGGGAGGCCGCTGCCTCCGCCCAGGCCCTGCTTGCTCTGCGATCTGCCCTCCCAGGTTGACCCAGCCCCGCCTGCGCCAAGCCGCGGTACCCCGCACCCGGTACCCCCCGCTCGGCGGCCCGCGGGCTCTCCCGGGCCTAGGCAGAGCCCGGCTGAGGCAGAGGCGTGAGCAGCCCCAGCTCCCGGGGCGCCGCGCTAGTGTCCGGTGCCCCCTCTGCAGCCCAGGGTCCTCACCCGGCTCCAGCGTGCAGAGCAGCCGGGGCGCGGTCCGGGAGATGCAGCTGCGCTTCTTGAGCACATTGCTCAGGATGGTGCCCACGCCGCCGCCGCCGCCGCCCTGCCGCTTCAGGCATCTCCCTCCGCGCCTCAGGGAGCCGGGCAGTTTGTCCTGCCGCATCCAGGAGCGCCCCGGGCTCCGGTGCAGCCACAGTCCACCTAGGTACCCGCCTGCCCCGCCACCAGCGCAGAGGCTGCTCGGGAGGCTCCGAGTCTGCTCAGTCGAGGGTCCCTCGGGAATAGCGTGAGTGCCGCCAGTGCTCGGGGCTGGAGGGGACCTGCGGGGCACCGCCGGAGCCTACGAGCGCCAGGCGGCCAGCAGGCATCTGCAGTGCGGAGCCGGAGCCGCACGGCTGAGGCTGGAGAGGGCTTGGGGCGGGGAGGAGGGCGGAGCGCGCAGGAGAGAAGGCGGCGCTCCCGCCCCCAATGCGGGCATCACTGTGCGCGGAAGGGGCGGCTCTAGGGCCCGGGAGCAGCCGAGCTTCGGAGCTCGGAAACCCCGAGCGGGCGGGTGAGCAACTGCGCTCAGGAACCAGAAGCAGCAACAGAGATTTCCGAGCTTCTCACAAAGTCTGGGAGGGGATGGAGTGGGCACCAAAGGGAGGAATCCCCGGTGCAGAACACCAGTGAGATGCAAGTGCCCCCTCCACCCGAGCAGCGTCGGAAGGGAGGTCATCCAGAGGCTGCCACATGGCGAAGCCCGAGCTTCATCCCAAATTGTTTTGAACTCTTTGCTGGCAGCTTAGAGAGGCACAGCGAGCACACTTAAAAAATGGTAATAATAAATGGTCTTTATCTTTTAAAAAATATATATTTGTATTGATTTCTGGGAGGAAGGTAGAGATGAAACATCAATAATGCTCTACCACAGAGCTGGTTCTTTATCTTTGGAAGTATGGGTTTCAAGATAAAAAGAAGTGTTCCCAATTAAAAGCAGTTTTGTTTTTGTTTTTTTAAAGTGCTTCCTCATCTCCAGCTAGAGATCCGATTCAGTAGTTCAGAACTAAGTATCATTACTGTGTGTTTTTTAAAAGCATTCTTAAATTACGGCACTCACCAGTGAAATGTTAGTCATAAAAAATGAATGAAGCCCTGGCCGGTTTGGCTCACTGGATAGAGCATCAGCCTGCAGACCGAAGGGTCCTGTTCGATTCTGGTCAGGGGCACATACCCTGGTTGCGGGCTTGATCCCCAGTAGGGGGCGTGCAGGAGGCAGCCAATCAATGATTCC